CGATAAGGAATGATGAACTTTTTCTGTTCGGTTTTGAAGGTGTTTTTTCATGAAAAAAAGCATCACACTTATAGCTTATCTTAACAGCACGAATGTCAGTGTTTGATAATCTCTTAAAAATAATCTCTTTAGTTAATCACACAGCTCAGCACTGTTTTTTTCTCTACATGGGGAAAACATTGACAGACAAGTGAGTTCATTTGCAAGATCAAGTGCTTTGAACTGCAGCTTTTAGTCAAACCATGAAACTATTTTGTTCTTTTTTCTTTCACACATTTGAAAAGAAATTTACATCAAGTTCCTTTTATATTTGGTCACACTGTCATCCTGGTATTAAATGCCATCAAAGTGCTATTAATGTCTTTCGAGGTCTCAGAATTTGGCATTTTTAAATAAACCCCAATTCAAAGAATCTCATCAGAGGAGTTTGAGCTCATCATGGCCAGTTGAATGTCCTACCAGTGATCTGGTAAAACTTCTGATTGAAGGGATGAAAGAATTTTTGCAGTTTAGTCACTACTGATGGGTCCACCTCCGGATGGGTGCGGCCCTTGCTGCCTGCCAGGCACTTGTTAAAGACAATGTTAAATCGCAGACAATAAAATCCCCTGGTGGCATTGAAGTACAGGTTATACTGGCTGATCCTGGAGGGGAGGTTAAGGAAGCGCTCAACAAGCTGCAGCTCTGGCAGCGGGTCTGTAATAAGGCGATCCCCATCCACAATGTGAAACTGCTCCACGGGAAAGTACTTCAACCAACGCTCCAAATGTTTGGTGTAGATGCTGGTCCGGACTGCTTTGTATTTCGTGTTCACCTCGCAGGTGTTGGTGTCAATGACCAGCTTCTCAAACTTGTGGTAGGTCTTGTTTTTGCGCTCCTTGCCCTCCAGCACTTGGGTATAGTCCGACACAGCTCTGGTGGTAGGCTCGCGCACAATGATCAGCAGCTTGATGGAAGAGTTCATCTTGAATATCCGTTCAGGGACTTCCTCTGTGATGAAGTAAGCGGGGCTCTTTTCAATGGTGATCTGATGAGGGAAGGAGAAGGGCATTTTCCCCCTGTACCAGTCGATGCCACGAGCGTAATTTTGGTCATTGTCAAAGAAGTGGATCTCTTGTGAAGCCTTGACAACTGCTGGATGCAGGTTGAGCATTTCCAGCAGGGCACGGGTGCCACCTTTACGCACCCCGATGATAATGGCCTGAGGCAGTTGTTGGACCAGGTTGTGCAGGCGAATTTGCTCTTTGGTGGCATTGCCCTTACGGATTTCATGTAGGAGGCCACGCTTAAACTGCAGAGTGCGGAGAGGAATTTGCTCTGGTTCAGGGGCGGACAGTCTGCTGTCAACTGGGCAAATGGGCTGTAGCCTGAAACACAGGAAAAGAACGCATCTATCTTATTTTGTATCTCATTCTATAAGAAATTTTACCGCTCATAGAATACATTTATCACTTCAATCTTAACTAAATAAGCTACTTGAATGTAAAACGTATTATTAATGGAACAATTCTCTGAAGCTAATGCAAAGAAACATCCTGAAACATCTATGACCTTCTGAGACCTCTGAAAAGCCTGCGGTATGTTAAGACTAAGGCTTTTGCAGCAGATGTTTAAAGTACTGTGAGTTGCGCCACCACAGCAGACTCGTCCTAGCACCAAGGACACAGCAAGCATAAAGTCACCCACTGGTTTGTCCTGTTTCTGGGGTATTGAACTGAATATTCCCACTGTCACCAAAACCCTTTTTTTAAAACAGGGAAATATAGTGAGTCACTGAGTAGTAACCACAAACAGCCATAAACTGCCAAAGCTGCTGCCCCCTGCTGGCCATTATGCAGGTTTAAGGAACTGTCTCCACTTTTTAGACTTGAACGCTGCATTCATATTTTACATACAGTCTGTGTCTAACAGATCCCTCAACTGGTTCATGGTTAGTTCCTCATCAACTATGGTATTCATTTCTTTGGAATGCCATTTCTCACCCAAGTCCTCACACCACA